CCGCGCGGTGTGTCCGGTCTCACGTATCACGGGTGGCCAGCGTATTTCGCACGCGATCCCATACGCCCGGCTGATCGCTCGCATTCAGCATGTTGAATATTTACGCACCCGCTTGCGTACGGCGCATGCGCTTGCACCAGCTAGCGCCAGCGCGCCCAGCAATGATCGAATCATCGTGTTCGAACGCGATTGTTTTTAGCAGCCAATCAAGTGTAGCAACGAAAGCTAGAATATGCCGTTGGAAGTGGTTGGACACCGTAGCAGTGTGTCCACAACTCGTACGGCGTTCTAATTTCGTGAGCGACATATATACCGCTGCCGGGCAGCGTACAGAATCGCTAGTGTGTCCTAGGCTTAACTAGTTTGTTACAGAGGACGGCCTCACAGAATTATCGTATTTTTCAGCAAATGTTCCAAGAAAATTTGGCAGACGTGCATCGCAAATGTCCTGCAATGTCCAAACGTGCAATCAACAGCAGGTGTAACAGATAGCCAGTGTCTGCCGTGCTTGCTGCTAGTGCATACGATGTACGTGCGTTATGGCCAACAGCGGTGTTGATTGATGTACGGACCAGATTGTTTCATGTCTGATATGTATGTGGTGAGAAGTGATGTCATGTGCGGAGCATCTTGATGACTGAGTAGGGGTGATGGGCGTCTGGGAGGGGAGACCTACATATAAGTCGACAAAATGACGACTTACACATATGTCATCATTTTCGTAAGTCGGCACAAATATGCTGGTCCCAAAAGTGTCGACTTAAATGTGAGTTTTACTGTACTACTACCAGGGCGTCAAGTGACAAGTGACGCTCAAAAAATAGGAAAATAGGAATTTCAGATGGTCCATATAGAATACCTATAGGCTCTGCGGCCGCGTATAGCACGATAGCATGCGTATACTATATAGTCAGTCCTCGCCAAAAGCGTCGGACCGTCGGCCAAAACCGGTGATTTTTGCACGGGTCCGACAAGAAATTTGCTTTACCAGACCGTGTGTCAGGTAACATTACATCAAAAATTACGCAGAGGCTACGGGTAACGTGAGTACCACACACTATGCCCTAACCCTAATATCCCTTGCCTATGGCTATCTCTATATGTACGCGGGTGTACCAAATTAATCTATGCCATAGACTATGGTGTGGGAAAGCGATAGGAAGAGATTGGCTGTTATATGATAAAAGATAAGAGAAAATGATGACATGCGACGTGTTGTGTGAACTATCATGGGAAGTTTATATTACTATCACTGTTATACCTGGATCACACAACTGGACAAGGCCAAAGGCTAGAAATAGGTGAAACCTACATTAATGACCAAGCTGGCATTATCGAATGCATTGCTGATTGTACGCGTCACGAAATGGATGAAAAAATAAACGATGCTAGCTTTTTCAGCTTTATCATGGACGGGTCAAAGACATAGCGCGTGATGAGCAGGAAAGCATATATATGTTAGATATGTCCACAAAGGAAAGCAACAGAGATGTGAATGTGTTTTAATGTTTCAATATTTTTTTGGTCCAGTAACATATCATTCGGTCTGGTAAAAACTCTATTTTTACTGGACGAATGTCCAGTAAAGGATTTTTTCTTTTGGCGAGGACTGTATAGTACCGCGATCGATCGCGTACATCAAGCGGCCGCCGCGCCATACGACCTGCTGCCATAAGCTTGTTTATGAAGTAGCCGGCCCAGGCTCTATACGACTGTTATCACGTTGTAGGAAAAATATTTTGGAATCTCTTTTATAGTCAGGGAATATTGCTAAAATTTGGAATAAATTTCTTACCAAGAAATTTCGTCCCCAATGTGATTGTAAAGGGTTGCCTAACTAACACTATTCAAAGATTTAAATTCAACTCCCCTAGACAACCCGTGACAGCTTGCTGAAAGTTGGGGTACCCGACCTTTATCCGAGAAATTGAAAAATTTTCATTCCTGCCTTAAGCAGCTTAGAGGATCAAAACTAGGGTTTTCTAATTGCTGAATTTGATTGCAAGGCATGTTTGTTTGCACCAAAACCACTCCTCTGCCAGAAAAACGTCATACACCCACTTTTTCGCTCGTCGCAAACCTATTTTTTGGGTGAAATTAAAACATAGAATTGGCGTGATGTAAAAGTTAACAAGTTTGCTTTATTTAGTTGTTATTTTCAAATTTTCTCGAATACTCTGTTTTGAAATTGAACGCTCCACAATTGTCAAATGCTTTTCAGGGAAGTCGGAAGGTCTGGGTCTTTCCAGGACTCTACTTCTATTATGAGTATACGAGTTTCTTCATGAAATGCCTTTACCAACTTTCCGCATGCATGAGATGCCACTTGACACCATTCTTCTTTGCATGCTGCCCACCGTCAGTGGCTGCATCGTCCTTACAAATTGCAGCTCGGTGCAACGAAGCAGCTCCTCAGGAGGCCATTGCGGGTTACTGTTGGAACCGGCTCTAACCACTATTCCTTAGCCGTCCATCCATAGTCATTGGGGTTCAAAGACTATGCTCTGCCAGCAGCATCCAGTCCCGGCGTTTTGGATGATAGAGCACGGAGAGACCATGCTGTTGCGAGCACTGACCAACTCTCTGTTGGTGTTAGAGTCTCTGTGTTGATTAGCCGAGCCGCCGCTTTCCGCTTCGGAACATCGTTGTACTCGAATTGCCCCAATGTGTAACTGCGTGCATGGATAAATGTGCTGGGAAAATGTGCAATCCAGCCCACCGATTTCTCACGTAAGTACGCTATTGAACGTCCTTGGTAGTCGGTACTGTTTCCAGCGAAGATGTCACTGTAAATTTCAATGCCCCTGGCCCACAAAACCTGATGAAATAGAGTCGTTTTCCCATAGGCCCAGATATTGTTCAGAAACGCGTATCACAACCGGTGAAGGTCGTGACAAAAGAGCAGGTAGTGCCTCATGTCTTTCAGGAGAGATGCTGTCTTCGGGATTCCTCCTGAACGATCATATAGAGCCTTTCGACTGTGGCTTAAGAAGAGTGGCGGTGGGTGGTGCTTGAGCTATGGTGCACCAGTAATTATCAGACCACGTCTGCCGGACTTTCGCGGCCGCACCTGAAATAGAACAAGATATGCAGCAAAGCGTCTTGAAAAAAAAGTAATCATAGTTTGATGATAAGTTAAAATACGCTACAGCAAATGATTTACTAGCCTCAACAGAGTCTGTAGCAGCCGGTCAATGCCGCTCTAACAATTCAATACAAAGTGTCAGCATCTATTGTCACACTTGTCTCACAATGTTGTGATCTGACTGTTTCCGGAGAAATGTATGAAGTAAAGGTAGATGAATGAGCTCACTCTTGTTATTGAGGTGTTGTCTATGTACTTTGCCCTTTTGGTGTCAAATTGTTATATATCCGCTAAATGATATACAATTCCAGTAGATTCACAGCATGAGTTATGGTACGCCGTGTGTGGTCGTGCTGTTGGCGACCTGCCTATATCCATCAAAGCCACAGTGTATCTTGCTTTTGGGAAAGACGGAAACTGCAAGGAACATATTCCTGCACAATAGCCTCAGGATGTTAACTGTCAGTCAATTCTTGCCTGCACACGAATATCACCCGTTAATTCATGACTTATCATTGCCAAGGTTCTGACCTTGCTTCCCACTTCAACCATGTAGAGAAGCCGGATTCGCTAATTTACACCACCAAGAAACTCAGCTGGTTACTAAGCGGATCAGGTCAACTCCTTCTAGCATAAGTCTTGATAAAAGCCTTACTATGTGCCTATATTGTTTCGGCTTGTTCATTGTCTGATCGTTTGTGACAGCTGAGGCCAAGTACAAGGAAAGGGTGACTCAGCTCATACTCTAAGTTGTCTGACTGTCTCATTCCCGTTGGGCCGAAAAATAT